TTGCAACTGCGAAAGTCCTAATCGACTCACAAGCCAAGCTTTTTGAAGACCACTTTTTTGCTCATACTGTTTCTTCCACCCAAGCATCCTGGGGGTACCAGGCTTCTTTTCACGGAGACTTTGAAACCACACTCAGGTTCCCTCTGGAAAGCCTTCTGACCTCCTCCCCTACTCTGTCCCTCTCAGTACCTGTGTGTTCTTTCCATTCATTAACCGGTTTCTCGAACATGTGCTGAGCACCCGAGCCCTGCCCGTTGGTCGGCTTGCTCCAGGGGGAGACACTGTGGCTGGTGTTCTTTCCTGTCTTCCCCTCCTTGAAGCAGGGACCAGGCTGCTCTAGCACCCAGCCCAGAGCTTGGCACACAGCAGGTGCCAGATAAATGTCAGCTGAAGGAGGAAGGAACAACCTGGCCTCACAGCAGCGCACCTTATCCATGGACATGTTCTATACAACATTTCTGATGGGGCAGAAATCCAAGCCTGTCCAGGAGCAAACCCCGTCAGGCCTACCCTCAATCCATCCAGAACCCAGCCATCCTACCACCTCACTGTCCCCTCCTGGGCCTCAACACCAGCCTCCTCTGCCCAGACTCTCCAGTGGATCCCCCCGCTGAAAGGCAGGTGTCTCATAGTGGTTCGCAGGACCTCACAGCCCAGCCTCCTGCACCCCCTCTCCCCTTCCACATTCTGTCCTGCCTCCTTGGCCTTCTGGCTGTTCCCGGCACATGCCAAGCCCCTACCTTTGGGCCTTTGCACATCCCAAACCCTCTGCATGGTTCCAGGTGCATTGGGCCTGGGTACCCGGGTGGCCATACCCTCACTTCCACCAGACCTCCACTCGAAGTTCGCCTCATCACAAAGGCCTTTCCCAGCAACCCTACTTTATTTTTTTTTTAAAGATTTTATTTATTTGACAGAAAGAGAGAGAGAGCGAGAACAGGAACACAAGCAGGGGGAGTGGGAGAGGGAGAAGCAGGCTTCCCGTGGAGCAGGGAGCCCGAACAGGGGCTCGATCCCAGGACCCTGGGATCATGACCCGAGCCGAAGGCAGACGCCGAACGACCGACCACCCAGGCGCCCCGCAGCTACCCTACCTTAAATGGCAAACATTCTCTGGCCCCAAGACTCCAGTCCCCGTACCGGACTCAGCTCTTCCCCACAGCACTTTCCGATGACAGTCTTGGTTATCTGCTTAAGACCTGTTTCCCAGTGAGAATACTTGCTTTATAAGGGGAGGTGTCTTGTTCACCACTATGTTCCAGGGCCTGGTACACAGTAGGTGCTCAGTGAATACCTGTAGAATGAGTGAGCAGCTCCTTCCATTCTACGGTGCCGCCTTCCACACTGCCAAGCTCCACAGAAATGCTACCTACATGGACTGCCTTCCAGAAGGTGGAGTCAGGCATCCCCCTCTCTGTCCCTTATCGGCTCTGGAACCTTCCCCCAACGGATCTGCAGCTTCCCTGCCCCCACTTGCCTTCCAGCCCCCTCATTCCTTGAGAACCCAGGCTCCAAACACGGCAAGAGCTCACCTCTAAAGAGCCCAAACCATCCCTAGTGTGCAGGGCAGGCGAGTGTCCAGGCAGCAGGAGACAATCTTGGCCCCTTTCCTCGGCCTGCACCGGCTGTTCTTTCCTGGAAAACCCCGAGTCAGCAGCGGGAGCAGAAGCAGGCTCCGTCAGCTGCCCCACGCTGAGCCCTGGGGTCCCAACTTCAAGGATCCACACAAGCCCTCCATTCAGGGGCAGCAGCTGGAAGGTGGCTGGGCTTCCAGACGGGACTCCAGCAGCCCCCCACCGCCCCCCACTGCCCGCCTGGCACAGCACCACTCACAGGGCACCTCCCACCCCAGCCTCATCCCTACCGCCCCCACCCACTCGGGTTTCCAAGAAGGAATGTGTCTGGTCTGGATCCGACAATGCTGGCCCCGTGACACTGGGAGAACAGACCGATTGTCCCAAACGCGACCGTCTGGCCGGTGTCGGCTCAGAGAGGTTAAGGATCGCAGGAGTTATCATCACAGTGGGCTGTGCCTTCCAGGCGGTCACACCCGTTCCCGGGGCGGGGGGCGGGGGGGGGGGAGTTGGGTGCTGGGAGGGGCTGGCCACCTCCCCCTCCCACCGGGAGCCACACACAAAGTTCCCTTTATGGGAACACGGCGGCCGGGCGCTGGCTGTTCCAGCCTCAGGGAAACCAGGTTTGGGTTTTCTCTGAGGGCACAACCAGGCCTTTGTCTTGACTTTGCCCATCCCCACCCGTCTGGCTTCCCTGTCGGGGACACAGTGTCCGGGACCCAAGCCCTTCCAAGCGGGCCCTTCTGAGGCTGGGTCCAGAGACACCAGAGGACGGCAAGGCACGTGCAAACAGCACCGAACACAACCCACGTTCCCCACCAAGACCTCCGTGAGGACCTACTACGTGGTGAGCAATGGGATGGCGGTGGAACCCGCCACAGGGGAAGGCAGCAGATGTGACCACAGCTAATCGGGACACAATTCGTTGCCGTGAGGAAATGCGCAGCCCCACTGTGTGCCGGCGCCGCGCCCGCACTGGGTCCACACAGTGAAAAGAATGAAGTGCTGCCCACCCGAGCCCATCCCGGCTGCATCGAACACATCAACTTGCGACTTGCTAAGAGAAGCATGAAGGCGTGATTATCCACCGCGATTTGGTCCCCTGCTTTGGCACGCATAAAAGATACGCCCTAAAAAACGTAGGAAAAAGAAACAGAGAAAACCTCCAGGAATTGTCCCTGAATGGAGCAACCAGGGTGCTCCGATGAGGGATTCTGGAGCTGGATTTCAGGTGCCCCACCCCCGGCTGGTGCGCATCGAGCCTGCACGTGACCCCCTGCCTTGGGGTCTGAATCCTGGTTCTCCTTCCTGCAGGAAAGTTCCCCCCGAACTTCCCACCGGCCACAGGGAGGAAGGAAGGGAGGAGGCCCACAGCCCACGGCTCCGAGGGCCCACGCGGCACGGCACCCCATCTATGAGCATCGCAGCAGACCCTGACTCCTCATCCACTGGACGCCCAGCAGGAGCATCGGTGGTGTGGACACAGCCTCGTCTCATGGAGGCCGGATCTGCAAAGGCCACTTCCCCAGAATCTGCCCAGCAGGGCCCTAGGCGCCCAAAGACACAGGCAGCCAGCTATGAGAAAGAGACTACCTCCTCGAGGGGAGATGGGTCTGGTGTTCTCCATTCTCTGCTTTGTGCACATCTGGATCCCAAGACTAAAAATTAAGCCCAAGTTAAGCCCTCCACGGCAGACAGGGCTCCAGGCCCAGGGAAGGGGGCAATGCAGCCCAGCACTGCCTTCTGGGCATCAGGAGACGTCGAGCAGGGACCTTTGGGGTCATCCTCGGCACCCGGGCTACGTGGAAGCATCTTCCAAGATTCACCGTGATCTCCGCCTGCAGGCCCTGAGGGACGGCTCCCCAAGCCAGCCAGGGGGAGAAATGGAAAAACCCCAGTGATTTTTTGGAAGGAACGTCCACTGCTGAGCACTAGGCAGAGGGGCTGGAGGGCCAGAGAGGGGCCTGGTGGAGCCGCCCATCCCCGTCAGCTCCAGCCCAGCAGGAACTGGTCTGTTCCATCCAGACGGTCAGAGCTGCCAGCCCAGCCAGGGCACTTCATGGAGGAAAAGGTCGGATGCTCAGAGGGTCAGGAGTGTGGATTTCCCCTTTCCAGTATGGCAGAGGGGAGGAGGGGCTGCTGAGGTGGTGAGGTCCTCGAGGCCAGAGCAGGGGGTGGGGTGGGGCGGGGCACCTTCCCCAGACATTCGCAGCCCCTCCACAGACAGCATCAAAGAGGGACAGCCAGACACTGTCACCACGGGGAAGGTCACACGGGGGTCAGTGCCGGCAGCACGGGAAGGGAGTGACCTATTTCCAAGGCCCATTCAGGAACCTCCCTGCAAGCCCAGACGTCTGACGCAGCCAGACGACAAAGGAAAGGGGGCTGGGGTGGGGGGGCTGGAGGTGTCTGATGGTCCAACACGGCACTCCCCCGCCATCACGGGGGTCCCCACAGCTGCCCCTCCACCTCCTGCTGACCATCGGAGTGGCCAGAGCAGGGCTGATCACAGCACAATGACCTACCACCTTACTCTGCTTCTCCTGGCCCTCTGGAATATTCTGCCAGTTTTCAGCCTGGATGGAACCAGAGGTGGTCCTGGCCTCCCCAGAATGTTGGCCCAGGACCCCGTAAGCACACCTCTCCCCAAGAATTACACCATTTCTCTTACAGCTTTGAGGAACACTTGTCACCCTGGGCCTTAGTCATAGACACCTGCTCTCATTCAACCATCGGTCAGGACTTGGTCAGGTCACCATACGAACTGGGGAGGAAAAACCAACGCAGATCTACGGAAAACCTGTGAACATCACAGATGGGTTTAAATCCCAGCTCTGCCCCTTCCCCAGCAAGGACCTGAGATGTTCTGGTCCTCCGTTTCCCCATCTGTAAAACAAGGCCAAGAACTCTATCTGTGTCACAGGGATGGTTTCAGGGTTAGGCGATGGTACACACGCGGCCCGGTGCCTGGTTCGTACCGAGTGCTCCTCAAAGGGAAGCCACGGAGACGGGTCCAAGGCAAAGAAGGAGCTCAGGCACCAGGGACTAAGCCCCAGGGATTTGGGTCATTCCTAAAGAGCCACCACATCCCTCCCGCATAGGATGGGAGCTCAGGGGAGCAGGTGCTGAAAGCCCCTGCCCCTTGCTATTCCCAGGTGTGCGTAACGCAGGATGGCTCTGCCCTTCTGCACAACAGACACCTCGTGGCTGCTCTGTGATTGCGCTGGAGGCTGCAGAGCCCAGCTGTGACCACACCTGGCGAGCACGGACCTCGCTGTTGCTGTTGTTCACTCCCCGGCCCCACTCTGCCCGGAACTGCCACCCAGGTTACCCACCGCAGCTGAACGAACCGCCCCCGTGAACCCGACCGTGGCTCTGGCCAGTCCCATGCCCCCATCCTGTCTCTCATGACTCAGGATGACTCACGGTTAACATCGCCGAGATCAGGCTGGTCCTGGAGTCCACGGCAGGGTCCGGTGACCGTCGGCAGCTTATTAAAAAAAAAAAAAAAAGGTGACCCTTCCTCTCTGTGGGTCTCAGAGGTGATCAAGTACAGTACTAATGAGCTGCCATAGTACTGCCTCCCTCACGGCTCCTCACGGCTCCTCATGGCTCCAACGGCCCTCCTGCCCACGTTTGGCCAAATAGTAAGTGTTCCTCAAAGGTCTGCAGAGCCGAGCTGCCCAGACACCTCCCCGGCAGGTACCAAGGCGATGGCCAAAGGTCAGGGCACGCATACAAAAGTCACTTGGGGTCTGCTCTCCGCCCTCCCCCCACCCCCGGGGTTTGGAGGCCACCCTGTGCCATCCAGGATATTTGGAAATTCCACCACACACATGCTTACAGCATCGGCTAAGCCCTAGGAATGCAAACCACCTGGGATGCCTCTGCAGACTGAACTAGAAAGGTTTAAAGGCTTTTGTCAGGTGTGGGGGTGGGGGGTCAGAGGAGAAGTTTCGAAGGGGGACAGGGCTGTTTCCAGCACCTGAAAAAGGCACACTGATGCCTTGGCCTGGGGAGTGGGTCAGAGACTCAGGGAGTCCGAGATGCGAACAGAGCAGAGGAGAAGATGCCTGTTTTAAAGGGGGAGAGGGTCTTCTGCTGGAGCCTGGGGGGGGGGTGACCCCTCCCAGTCACACCAACCTTTCATGAGCAGAGCATCCCATAATTCCATCCCACCTCAACCAGCCACAAGAGCAGGTACCAGCGACATAAATGAAAAATCCACCCCCAAGGAAATAAGAGACACAGAGCCCATCCTCCAGGGCACCTTCAAAAGGAAGGTCATGATCAGCTGGAGTGGGGGGCAGCCACCTGGGAGTGTGGTCAGCCCCACAGCCGGGATCAAGCCAAGTCTGAAAAGCAATCAGCCCATTCAGTCCTGCATGTGCCAGGCACTGTCTCAGGCACCCGGGGCTGCCAAACCTGGTAGACAGAGCCCCTCCCCTCATGGAGACACACAGACAGCCACAGGCAACCTCGGAATATGAGCTGATTGGATCAAAGACGCTAACTTCTCCGTTGTTGGTGAAAAGGTCGGCCAGCTCATTCATTCATTCATTCGACAAGTTCCCACTGAGCCTTCATGGTGCCCCAGCCACGGTGCTAGGACCAAGGTGTCTGCCCTGGGGGGAGTTTCAGCGACTCCCACCACATCTCTCAAGACCCCACGGTGCGGTGCCTCCCGGCTTCCTCACGAGCCCCCAGGACAGGCACTGAGCATGGGGACCAGCCCCAGCTCCATATCCCCAGCCCCCTCAGTGACGTGGGGTGAGCCATTTCTCCTGCCCCACTGCCTGAAATACTCGCAAAGCGTAAGGGGGTGGGCACACGCTTCCTCCGAGGGTCAAGGAATAAATTGGGAACAGCAGGCAAACCCACTGGGTACAAGGGGCCCCATCTATCGAGTGCTCTGGAACAACAAGATGCAAAGGGGTCTCCTGGCTCTCTAGGACCCTCCAAGACCTGCTAGACAAGGGAGCAGGGATACCCACATCTGTAAAGGGCAATGGGGGAGGACAGGTGAGGTAGCTTAAAGGCCAGCAGGGGGAGGGAGGGAGGGAGGAGGGGTTGCAGGTAGACCCACAAGATAGAGATGCTCCCGCCACACAGAGGGCGGCCCTTGCCCCAGAGACAAGGGTTGATTATCCCTCTCGGGTCTGTTTTGTTTCTGCTGTAACCCCCTGCCTAAAACAATGGCTGGCACGTGGCGGGTGCTCAGTAAGTATTTGCAGAAGGAGTTTCTGCTATGAAAACTGAAGAGGGAGGCAAAAAGAAACCAAGGTGGGGGGTGGGAGGTGCCCAGAAACAGCGAGAAAGAGACACCAGCCTGGACGTCTGGGATCCCTGGCAATGGGCTCTGGCCCTGTCCTGAGCAGGTGAGTCTGGCTGTCACAACAGAAGTCATTTGACCCAGGGGGACTGGAAGTCCAGATTCCCCTCCACGTTTTGGAAAAGGAGGGTGTCTTGCCTCTGACCCCAGGAGCAGGCAGGCAGGGGGCCAGCCCAGGGCCAGACCCGGCCAGGGTCCTCCCTGGAAGTCTGGGGCTGGAGGCCTGGGGATAAGCTTCCCACCCAAGGCCAGCAGTTCAAGCCACCGCAGGACCAGTGGGTATGGACTCCAGAGCTCTCTCAAAATGGGCGAACCTGTCTCTAACCACCAGGCTGGACAGTGATTGTGAAGCCCCACCCTTCGAGAGGGGGCCCCGTCCACATCACTCCCCCACCGAAACCACACCAGCCACACCCGGGACTGGACGGACCCCACACCTCGGAGCCACATGAAACCCATCACCCCCTGGCGCCCCCATCCAGTTCCCCCTCTGCCCCATGTCCCCACTCCACATGAGCCCTGCAGGCCAGGCGGCTTCCCGCAGCCTCTAACCCAAGACGGTCTCCGCCCCCGCCTCAACTCAATTCAGTGGGGTCCCACGGAGCGGGTGGAGCAGGAGGGCCCCCGGGACTCTCTTCATCCCCCCCCCGCCGACCTCCCCCCCCCGTCCTTGCACTTCAAGGCCCCAGTTTGGGGGTAGCATATGAGGTGAAGCCCCCATCGGGTAGGGACGGGGGGCGTGCTCCACGGGCACGGTGAGCAACACGAGGCCCGGCCTCCGTCTGCCTCCTCTCTGGCCAGCCCGCCAGGTCCACACACCGACCTGCAGCCCGCGTGGTGTTCCTGGGCTCCCCATGCTGCCCCCTGGCTCCCACCTCTCCGTCCTTACCTACTCCTTAGGGCTTGCCACAGGACGACCCTCCCCAAGGCTGGGTTCCTGGGCTGGGGGGGGGGCCCTCCTATTAGCTTTCCCTGCTCCGGTCACACCGTGTTGTAATTACAGCTCAAGTGGCCGTCCCTACCACAGACAGCAAATCCTCCGGGGCAGGCGCCTGCCTCATCCGGCCGCATCCCCAGCCTGCACGGAATGGGGTGAGCCTCCCGGATGGCGCATGTGCCAGGGAACAGTTCTCTGAATAAAGCAAACAACTGCCCACTGTCCATGGGGCAGCCACCCCGCGAGCTTTGCGGAGCCCCTGCGGCGACTCTGCAAGGTGAGTTTTTACAGATGCGGAACGTGAGACTTAAAGAGGCTCCAGGTCAGAAGCCAGAATCCAACCTCATGGTCTTCCCGGGGCACGGGGAGCCTGAGAGCGGAGGTTGGAAGGTGCATGGCAGGGGCGCCCCGTGGGCCACAGGGGCAGGACCCTGTCCCCATTCCCGCCCCTGTCCCCCCCTACCCCTGCGGCAACCTGGAGGGCCGGGCAGCCGGAGAGCGACCAGAGGGGGGTGGCGGAGCCCCCCGCTCTGCACAGCGGCCGTGGCCCCGGTGCCCTCGCCCACCTTCACCCCTCACCCACCAGCAGCCCAGGCCCACAGCCCCTCCCCCAGCAGGCCACAGGAAACGCCATCCCTCCCCACGCCGCAGCTTCCCAGAACAAACGCCATGTCTCCCCAACCTGCCCGGAAAGGGAGTGAATGCACCGGCTTCCTGTGGTCCCCACCTGGCTGTCAGGGGCCGAGCCCGGCCACCCCGCTTCCCCTGGCTCCTGGGGGACGCCCAGCCACCCTGTCTTACCCAGCCTGGGCTCTCCGGGGCAGGCCCCCAGGGTACTGGAAAGTTCCAGAATAGCATGGGCTTAAAAACCCAAGGAGGGCAAGGACACAGAGGCAGGACTCTCCTTCAGTCCTGGCTTGCGTCTGTTCGCCGTCCGCATGCCTCACTCAGCCGCCAGGGCAGAACAGAGCCTGGCACACAGAGGCCTTCGGCCACCATGTGGGATGAAGGGAGGGTCGACGAAGAATAAAAGGCACCCATTCAAGAAGCCTGTGGAACTGCAGGGGCTCCCCTGCCACAGGAAATCAGTTGCATGTGGCTTTGAAACGGTCTTTTCCCACCTGATGACGTGAAGATCTCCCTCCTGTGTACACACACACACACACACAGACCCTCCACCCCTCAGCCCTCGCCCTGGGAAGGCCATGAGTTTTGATTCTAGCTTCCAGCCTGGGTCCCAGACAAATTACTTGGCCTCTTAGAGCCTCAGTTTCTACATCTATAAAAAAAAAACAACAACTATAAAAATAGGTTCCCAAATATCTAAACTAAAAATCCCGGAGCCCTTGATTTTGAGGGTATTTATTAAGCACTTACTACACACTGGGCACCACCTGTGCTCCTGGTGGTGTGGGATACGGACAGCCTCTAAGATCCGCCAGTGGCAGATCTCTTCCCTTCTTCCTTTCCTTCTCCCTCTCCAGTTCTTACACATCCTAAGGCTCAGCTTTAACACCGCCTCCTCCAGGAAGCCTTCCTGGATTCACCTGCTGCGACTAAACTCCGAATCCCAGCTAAGTACTCTAGAACTCGCTCACCTCTCATTGCCTTTATAACCCTCTGCCTAACGTGATGTTGTTGGAGAGTTAACTGTATATTTGCCCTCTTCCCTTCCAGAAAGCACACCAAGCAAGTTCTCAGAGGCCAGGACTAAAGATTATAAATTCCAAGGCATGTTCCCTCGCAGCAGGAAGGCACCCCACCTCAAGCCTTGAATCCCAGTTATGGGAAGGACAGCACCTAGGTTCACCCATGTCAACACACTCCATCCATGGGGTACTCTTACACCCCCGTTTCACAGATAGGAAACCGAGGCCCAGATCACAGACGCAGCTAGCCCAGCAGGACTCCAGCCACCTCCACCTGACTCCCAAGCCAGGCTCCTAACTGTTCCAGCCCCCACACCCAGACTCTACACGGCTTCCCAAGGTGGCTTCCTCCAGAGGCGAAAGCCGTGAACCAGAGACATCACACAGGGCTGCATTGGTGTCCTGGGGCCATGGGACACATATGGGCTCCAAGATGCCCAAACAGTCCCCAATCTCTCGGTAAACAGCAACTGCCCCGAACCCCCTAGGTACCCCCTCCATCAATCAGCCCCTTTGCCACAACCTTCACCCCCTCACCCTCCAGCAGCTGAAGGGGTCACGCCTGGCACAGC